GACTTCTCAATCAACCCTGCAACCGATATCAGTAAGTTATCTTGATCCTTTTATAACATAACCAACATGAGGCATTCAGAATTTTTTCGAATCAGCCAATAATTCGAGTCGTTATTACCATCATCGTTTTCTTAGGATTGAATTCATTTTTGCTTACTAGCTTAGGGATTTTAACGGACGGTAGGAAGGCGAAATAAATCCAGGGGAAGATTAAATGAATCTTGGAGAATTTGAGCACGAGTTCCACTTCGACTAACGAAAGCAAGAATTCTGGAGATGCTGCGTGTTTGCGATAGTACTTTAATAGAGACAGGGTGATCAATAGCGATTTACTGTGTCACGATTTCTGTGCTGCAGTCAAGCATAGACCTTCAGTCACTGGGTTGACGAGTGGGCCTAATCACATGAAAATTTCCATTAGCCTCTCATTTGACAACATGAACGGAGTAAATAGGATCGAGACAATAACTGTAAACCTTTCGAACGAAACTGTTGACTTCTAAAATCTGCAATTCCCATCTTGAAGTATCAGCCACTCACCTTTGACCTGCAATAGGAAATGATCACAGTAATTGAAACCGTACCATTTTTCAGAAATGGTCTACGTTATGGACACCAAAAGAGGACAAAACCAGTACAGACCATGTGTTGGAAGTGATAATAAAAGCATGCTCCAACATACCATTTGTTCCGACACGATGTCGACGAAAACAATGCGAGGTGGCACCGGATTCGGAACCCGAGGTAGCAGCGGATCCGTACTCATCGAATATCTCGTCATAAAGAGTTGTGGAGGACGTGGCGGAACCCTCAACATCTGAGCGCTTCATTCAAGTTTTGAAGACCTGAACTCTTGAAACGGCCACCCAGACAAACAAATGCTTACAAAAGCTTTCTGTAGGCATCTAACCACTCCTTGCAGTATTTTTATCTAAATTTGTAATCTTTTGCGAGCGTCATGCCAACCAATATCACAATTCCCTGTTGATGAAAACGATGTGATGTAAGCTCACAATAAAGTATTTGTATTCAACAAGAATTCTTCCATTTGCATACAATATAACCTCTTTTTTCTCAAGAATGCAGATTCAATCTTCATGCAAACAAATTCCCGGAACACATTTCACTGTAAATCAAATGCCAGTGAGTCGGATATGCAACCTAATAAGGAAACAATAACAATCTTGTAAATAAACAATGTTTCATTAAAAAGTTCCACCCTAAAATGCACATGGCTGAGTCAATACAATAATATCGCAAATTAACATTCAATTGCATCACAAATGAGATTCTCTTTTGGATGTTTGGATGTGTTTTCATTATTATTAATCGAGTTTCCAAACGTTTCCGGGACAAAAAAGAAAGACTCGACGGCAAACGTCCACCACATCGTCATATTCGCCGTTCACCGAGATGCAGTTCCCATTTTTGGATATCACATTTAACAACGTCTTTTTGTGTTTAACGGCGTAAAACAGTTTCTGTGAGTGCAAGAACGGTCGCTGTAAATGAGTTGTCGGAAGAAGATCTAGTGGACAAGCATGAAACGCAGGTGAGAACGAGCTTGTTGATGAATCGGAGAGTGTGGTTCGGCGTGTTATGATTCCGAAGCAACGATGCACTCGACTGTGCTAAATGACGGCTTGCTCGCATCAAATTTATCACAGTTCCAAAAATAAAGCCATTAGAAGCATTCACTGAAGTGAATTTATCACAATACGTCGTACACAATTTTCACTTACAATATGATATACATCTCATCCCGGAACGTTGGGGTAAGTTCGTGACCTTCCCTTGTTAGAAACGTCACGCAAGTTTTTATAGACTGATGCAAAATGTGATCTATACTGGATGAAAACCGATCCTTCCCAACAACCACGTTCTCACAAGAATCGCGTCTATACAATAGTTAATATTCTTTCGATTGTCAGTTTGCTTGCGTAAGTCCTAACCTAGCTACTCCGGTCCATCACAACAGCCCTTGCTAGCAGTCCTTAGTGATTAAGCATGCTCGACCCGTTAGGGGTATTATTATCAATGACACTTCAAGCCAAACTGGTTCACCAAAACTTCTGCAAATAACGGCTTAACTGGGATGGTCGACTACCCGAACCACTGAAACAACATGTGGAATCCTTTTTGTCGGTCAAGGCTTTCTATCAGATTTGTATCACCACGACTAATAAATCCAAAATTGAGTGAAAACAACACACAAGTTCACCGTTTCGTTGATACCTCTCAAAAAACATACACTGCCCTCATTTACATTCACAGTTACAGAGATGATCATGATTCCGACGCAGTTGCTTCATTCGACTGTGTCAAATATTGTCTTGATCTTATCAAATCGATTACGATTCCCGAATTATAGCTATTAGCAGCATTCACTGAAGCAAAAGTCCTGAATGAACCCCACTTAGAATCCTCACGAAGGTTCTTATGGACCGATTCAAAGTGTGATCTATGATGGACGAAAACCGATCTTTAAAAGCAGCCACGTTTTTACAAGGATCGCGTCGATACAATTCAAGGGGTTGAAGACTTCGAAATACGATATGTCCCGTCCCAAGAAAATCCAGCAAGCATAGCAAAAGGAGCTAGAAACAGCAACTTTGTGGTGATCAGGGACAAAATAGTTAAGTCAAAACGAATCATCTAGCCAAAATGTGAGTACTGATAAAACGAAAATATAATGATATCACAATTTATGTTTACGAAAATACAAAATGATAAGACAATGATTTAAATTTAACATTTGGTAACATATAATGAAAACGCAAAAAAATGTAATAACTCATCAGTACAATAATATCACTGTTCAATGTTTGGTAACGACGAAAAACAGAGGTAATGTCCCAAAACCACAACACTTACAGCTCAAATATTCAACACCTCGTTGCAAATGAGTTGTTGGAAGAAGATTTAGTGAATAACCATGAAACGCGTGAAACTGTTTCACCCCGTTAAACACAAAAAGACATCGTTAAAAGTGGTATCTAAAAATGGGAATTGCATCTCGATGAACAGCGAATATAACGATGTGGTGGACGTGTGCCATTGAATATTTGTTTTATGCCCCGGAAATGTTTAGAAATTCGATTATTAATTATGAAAATGCGTCCAGAAATCCAAAGAGAATCTCAATTGTGATGTAGCTGAGTGTCAAATAGCGATATTACTGTATCGACTCAACGATATGCATTATAGTATGGAACTTTTTATGAAACGTTTACTAATAAGATTGCTGTTGCTTCTTTCATACGTTGTATATTCGACTCATCGATATTTAATTTGCTGTGGATTGTATTGAATGAATTTGTATTCATGAAGATTGCATTTGCATTTTTAAGAAAAAAGAGGTTATATTGTATGCAATTGGAAGAATACTTGCTGAATACAAATACTTTATTGTGAGCTCACATCAAATGTTAAATTGTAATGTCGTTGTATTGACTCAATGATATGCATTAGAGTGTGGGAGTTTTTTATGAAACGCTGTTTATTTATAAGATTGTTACTGTTTCCTTCTTAGGTTGCGTATTCGACTTACTGGCATTTGATCTACTATGAATTGTATTGAGGGAATTTGTGTGCATGAAGATTGGATCTGCATTTTTAAGGAAAAAGAGGTTATATTGTATGCAAACGGAAGAATTCTTGCTGAATACAAATACTTTATTGTGAGCTTACATCATATCAATTTCAACAACAAGAAATTGTGATATTGGTTGACTTGACGCTCGCAGAAAATTACAAATTTAACTGAACATACTGCAGAGGCGATTTAATGGCTACAGAAAGATTTTTGTAAGCAGTTGTTTGTCTGGGTGGCCGTTTCAAGAGTTCAGGTCTTCAAAACTTGAATGAAGCGCTCAGATGTTGAGGGTTCCGCCACGTCCTCCACAACTCTTTATGACGAGATATTCGATGAGTACGGATCCGCTGCTACCTCGAGTTCCGAATCCGGTGCCACCTCTCATTGTTTTCGTCGACATTGTGTCGGAACGGATGTTATGCTGGATCATCGTTCCACCGCCTCTCGTAATACATGCACCACAGGGTCTGTATTGAGATACTTGCTGTCCTCTTTGGGTGTCAATAACGTAGACCATTTCTGAAAAAACGGTACGGTTTCAATTACTGTGATCATTTCCTATTGCAGGTCAAAGGTGAGTGGCTGATACTTCAAGATGTGAGTTGCAGATTTGGGAGGCCAACAATTTCGGTTGAAGGATCTACATTCATTGCCCCAATTCCATTTGCTCCGTTCATGTGGAAGAGAGAGCTCATCGGAATTTTGATGTGATTAGGCTTGCTTATCAACCTAGTGGTTACAGGTCTATGCTCGACTGTACCACAGTAATCTTGGCTCAGTAAATCGCTACTGATCACCCCGTCTCTAATAATGTACTATCGCAAGCAGGCAGCATCTCCAGAACTCTTGCTTTCGTTAGTTAAAGTGGCACTCCTGCTCAAATTCTCCAGGATTCAATCGCTTAATTTCTCTGCATTTTTTTGGCCTTCCTACCGTCCATTAAATTTCCTAAGCGAAATAGCCCAAATGAATGCAGTCTTATGAATAAGTCAATGGCACTGATCATGACTCGAGTTATTCGCTGATTTGAAAAACTTCTAAATGCCTCATAATGGTTAAGTTATGAAAGGATCAAGAAAACTTACTGATATTGGTTGGAGTGTTGATTGAGAAGTCGGGCAATGAACTGAATGATGCCAAACATGCTCCGGTCGATCCTTTTATGCATGGTTCTGAGTCGAATTCAAAACAAAAGTGCAGCAACTCTTTGTTTTTCGGATTATTTTACGGC